ATGTAGGTTCTTTGGGGAGTATTTATATGTGTTTACTCATGGTTACTTGAGGTGGTGTGATGGAATCTTTGGGAAGACTGTTGAGTATTTATATGTATATATTCATGGTAACTGGAGGTGATGTGATGGGTTCTTTGGGGAGACTTTTGAGTATTCATATGTAAATATTCATGGTTACTGGAGGTGGTGTGGTAGGTTCTTTGGGGTACTGTTGAATATTTATATGTATATATTGATGGTAACTGGAGGTGATGTGATGGGTTCTTTGGGGAGACTGTTGAGTATTTATATGTATATATTCATGGTTACTGGAGGTGGTGTGATGGGTTCTTTGAGGGACTGTTAAGTATTTATATGTATATATTCATGGTTACTTGAGGTGATGTGATGGGTTCTTTAGGGAGACCTTTGAGTATTTATATGTAAATATTCATGGTTACTGGAGGTACTGTGATGGGTTCTTTGGGGAGACTGTTGAGTATTTATATCTATATATTTATGGTTACTTGAGGTGGTGTGATGGGTTCTTTGGGGAGACTATTGAGTATTTATATGTATATATTCATGGTAACTGGGGGTGATGTGATGGGTTCTTTGGGGAGACTTTTGAGTATTTATATGTAAATATTCATGGTTACTGGAGGTGGTGTGGTAGGTTCTTTGGGGAGACTGATGAATATTTATATGTATATATTCATGGTTACTTGAGGTTGTGTGATGGAATCTTTGGGCAGACTGTTGAGTATTTATATGTATATATTGATGGTTACTGGAGGTGGTGTGATGGGTTCTTTTGGGAGACTGTTGAGTATTTATATGTTTATATTCATGGTTACTGGAGGTGGTGTGGTAGGTTCTTTGGGGAGACTGATGAATATTTATATGTATATATTCATGGTTACTTGAGGTTGTGTGATGGAATCTTTGGGAAGAATGTTGAGTATTTATATGTATATATTCATGGTTACTTGAGGTGGTGTGATGGAATCTTTGGGAAGACTGTTGAGTATTTATATGTATATATTGATGGTAACTGGAGGTGATGTGATGGGTTCTTTGGGGAGACTTTTGAGTATTTATATGTAAATATTCATGGTTACTGGAGGTAATGTGATGGGTTCTTTCTGGGGGACTGTTGAGTATTTATATGTATATATTCATGGTTACTGGCTGTGGTGTGATGGGTTCTTTGGGGAGACTATTGAGTATTTATATGTATATATTCATGGTTACTGGAGGTGGTGTGATGGAATCTTTGGGAAGACTGTTGAGTATTTATATGTATATATTCATGGTAACTGGAGGTGATGTGATTGAATCTTTAGGGAGACTGTTGAGTATTTATATGTATATATTCATGGTAACTTGAGGTGTTGTGATGGAATCTTTAGGGAGACTGTTGAGTATTTATATGTATATATTCATGGTTACTTGAGGTGGTGTGATGGAATCTTTGGGAAGACTGTTGAGTATTTATATGTATATATTCATGGTAACTGGAGGTGATGTGATGGGTTCTTTGGGGAGACTTTTGAGTATTTATATGTAAATATTCATGGTTACTGGAGGTGGTGTGATGGGTTCTTTCTAGGGGACTGTTGAGTATTTATATGTATATATTCATGGTTATTGGAGGTGGTATGATGGGTTCTTTTGGGAGACGGTTTAATATTTATATGTATATATTCATGGTTACTTGAGGTGATGTGATGGGTTCTTTAGGGAGACCTTTGAGTATTTATATGTAAATATTCATGGTTACTGGAGGTACTGTGATGGGTTCTTTGGGGAGACTGTTGAGTATTTATATCTATATATTTATGGTTACTTGAGGTGGTGTGATGGGTTCTTTGGGGAGACTATTGAGTATTTATATGTATATATTCATGGTAACTGGGGGTGATGTGATGGGTTCTTTGGGGAGACTTTTGAGTATTTATATGTAAATATTCATGGTTACTGGAGGTGGTGTGGTAGGTTCTTTGGGGAGACTGATGAATATTTATATGTATATATTCATGGTTACTTGAGGTTGTGTGATGGAATCTTTGGGCAGACTGTTGAGTATTTATATGTATATATTGATGGTTACTGGAGGTGGTGTGATGGGTTCTTTTGGGAGACTGTTGAGTATTTATATGTTTATATTCATGGTTACTGGAGGTGGTGTGGTAGGTTCTTTTGGGGAGACTGATGAATATTTATATGTATATATTCATGGTTACTTGAGGTTGTGTGATGGAATCTTTGGGAAGAATGTTGAGTATTTATATGTATATATTCATGGTTACTGGAGGTGGTGAGATGGAATCTTTGGGAAGACTGTTGAGTATTTATATGTATATATTGATGGTAACTGGAGGTGATGTGATGGGTTCTTTGGGGAGACTTTTGAGTATTTATATGTAAATATTCATGGTTACTGGAGGTAATGTGATGGGTTCTTTCTGGGGGACTGTTGAGTATTTATATGTATATATTCATGGTTACTGGCTGTGGTGTGATGGGTTCTTTGGGGAGACTATTGAGTATTTATATGTATATATTCATGGTTACTGGAGGTGGTGTGATGGAATCTTTGGGAAGACTGTTGAGTATTTATATGTATATATTCATGGTAACTGGAGGTGATGTGATTGAATCTTTAGGGAGACTGTTGAGTATTTATATGTATATATTCATGGTAACTTGAGGTGTTGTGATGGAATCTTTAGGGAGACTGTTGAGTATTTATATGTATATATTCATGGTTACTTGAGGTGGTGTGATGGAATCTTTGGGAAGACTGTTGAGTATTTATATGTATATATTCATGGTAACTGGAGGTGATGTGATGGGTTCTTTGGGGAGACTTTTGAGTATTTATATGTAAATATTCATGGTTACTGGAGGTGGTGTGATGGGTTCTTTCTAGGGGACTGTTGAGTATTTATATGTATATATTCATGGTTATTGGAGGTGGTATGATGGGTTCTTTTGGGAGACGGTTTAATATTTATATGTATATATTCATGGTTACTGGAGGTGGTGTGGTAGGTTCTTTGGGGAGACTGATAAATATTTATATGTATATATTCATTGGTACTTGAGGTGGTGTGGTAGGTCCTTTGGAGAGACCTATGATTGTTTATATGTATATATTCATGGTTACTGGAGGTGGTGTTGTAGGTTCTTTAAAGAGACCTATGATTATTTATATGTATATATTCATCGTTACTGGAGGTGGTGTGGTGGAATCTTTGGGAAGACTGTTGAGTATTTATATGTATATATTCATGGTTACTGGAGGTGGTATGATGGGTTCTTTGGGGAGAGGGTTGAATATTTATATGTTTATATTCATGGTTACTGGAGGTGGTGTGGTAGGTTCTTTGGGGAGACTGTTGAGTATTTATATGTATATATTGATGGTTACTGGAGGTGGTGTGGTAGGTTCTTTGGGGAGACTGTTGAGTATTTATATGTATATATTGATGGTTACTGGAGGTGGTGTGGTAGGTTCTTTGGGGAGACTGTTGAGTATTTATATGTATATATTGATGGTTACTGGAGGTGGTGTGGTAGGTTCTTTGGGGAGACTGTTGAGTATTTATATGTATATATTCATGGTTACTGGAGGTGGTGTGGTAGGTTCTTTGGGGAGACTGTTGAGTATTTATATGTATATATTGATGGTTACTGGAGGTGGTGTGGTAGGTTCTTTGGGGAGACTGTTGAGTATTTATATGTATATATTGATGGTTACTGGAGGTGGTGTGGTAGGTTCTTTGGGGAGACTGTTGAGTATTTATATGTATATATTCATGGTTACTGGAGGTGGTGTGGTAGGTTCTTTGGGGAGACTATTGAGTATTTATATGTATATATTGATGGTTACTGGAGGTGGTGTGGTAGGTTCTTTGGGGAGACTGTTGAGTATTTATATGTATATATTGATGGTTACTGGAGGTGGTGTGGTAGGTTCTTTGGGGAGACTGTTGAGTATTTATATGTATATATTGATGGTTACTGGAGGTGGTGTGGTAGGTTCTTTGGGGAGACTGTTGAGTATTTATATGTATATATTCATGGTTACTGGAGGTGGTGTGGTAGGTTCTTTGGGGAGACTGTTGAGTATTTATATGTATATATTCATGGTTACTGGAGGTGGTGTGGTAGGTTCTTTGGGGAGACTGTTGAGTATTTATATGTATATATTCATGGTTACTGGAGGTGGTGTGGTAGGTTCTTTGGGGAGACTGTTGAGTATTTATATGTATATATTGATGGTTACTGGAGGTGGTGTGGTAGGTTCTTTGGGGAGACTGTTGAGTATTTATATGTATATATTCATGGTTACTGGAGGTGGTGTGGTAGGTTCTTTGGGGAGACTGTTGAGTATTTATATGTATATATTCATGGTTACTGGAGGTGGTGTGGTAGGTTCTTTGGGGAACTGTTGAGTATTTATATGTATATATTCATGGTTACTGGAGGTGGTGTGGTAGGTTCTTTGGGGAGACTGTTGAGTATTTATATGTATATATTCATGGTTACTGGAGGTGGTGTGGTAGGTTCTTTGGGGAGACTGTTGAGTATTTATATGTATATATTCATGGTTACTGGAGGTGGTGTGGTAGGTTCTTTGGGGAGACTGTTGAGTATTTATATGTATATATTCATGGTTACTGGAGGTGGTGTGGTAGGTTCTTTGGGGAGACTGTTGAGTATTTATATGTATATATTGATGGTTACTGGAGGTGGTGTGGTAGGTTCTTTGGGGAGACTATTGAGTATTTATATGTATATATTCATGGTTACTGGAGGTGGTGTGGTAGGTTCTTTGGGGAGACTATTGAGTATTTATATGTATATATTGATGGTTACTGGAGGTGGTGTGGTAGGTTCTTTGGGGAGACTATTGAGTATTTATATGTATATATTGATGGTTACTGGAGGTGGTGTGGTAGGTTCTTTGGGGAGACTATTGAGTATTTATATGTATATATTCATGGTTGCAGGAGGTGGCGTGATGGGTTCTCCTGGCAGATTGGCAGCACAGACTGTACTGGCAGATTACACCAAGCTCTGACACAGAGATCTGTGTCTATGAAGGTATAGTCATGCGCATTATGTTAATCATCTCATTTGTCAGTTCCCAAATCAAACACTTATCTACATACTTCAATATACATGTTTGAGTGACAGTTGTTGTGTCATCCAAGATAATATAATGACATCCTTGCCATGTCAGATTGCAAAGGGGGTTAACTGCTGTGGTCAGTATGTGTGTCAAGCCACAGTATACTGTCACTGCAAGCAAGGCACTTGGATAAGTTAACCATTAGGCGGGTACCATACAAACAGACATATGATGACTTGTTATCATGTTGAAGAACACCCACAATCAAATATGGTTGGACCGTGATCTATAAAAATGAAGTTTTCTATTACAATAACTGAGGTAGACTAACATATTTGTGTTTTTTGAATGATCAATAATTTTTTGTTTTCAGCACAGACCTAGGTTGAGCAGGCACTTGTTATAGCTGATGACGGATGGTGCACCTGTGGCTCTCACGTGGCAAGAATGAGGTCTGATGCCAGCAGAAGCACACACATCTGTCTGCTTCTTCAACATATTCATCCTAGTTTTGATAAACTTAATGTTGAAACTCATATGGCTCAATAACAGACCTTTAGATAGCTGATGCTGTAGTTAGTATGTGATCAGCAGGCTTCTTCAGAGCTCATTTCCTTCTTGCCTTTAGACAGCAGTACTTGTAAAACACCATCGCCCCAAATCAAGGATTGACATGAGTTGGTATTGATGGTTGGTCCTTCTGATTTGGTGAGATTTCCTGCTCAAACCACATTTACCCTGTTAATGACTTGTAGATGGAACCCATTTGAACTTAGTATTTTTGCCAGAAAGGGTTAACCGTTCTTTGTATCAGCCATACAACAATTTGACCATGGCAGAAATAAATTAGATTTTTTTACAAATGATGGATCACTTTCTCATCTTTGTGTTTGTGTTGTTAGAAGTATTCATATTAATGTTAGAAATCAGCTTTGTGAGTCCGACCCAAATTCCAGTATTCACCTTGGGTATTGCCCGCATCAGAGAAAGAACACTTTGAGGCACAGGTTGTTATACAAGTTAACAACCAGTAAAAAACTAATATTTTAGTGCCATAAAAATGTGTAATGTCAATCTTCATTTTGGAGACTGGTTGTATGACTGCTTTAATTAATATGTTTGCGTATCATTGGTCTAGGCAACAGGAGCTGATTCCACACACATGTGAAACCTCTCAAGGCTTTTGCAAATTATGTACTTCTTTTAAAACCAAGAAGGTACTTTTATTTCGTATGCTTGAAGCCGACAAACTATGTCTACAATTGTCTTACAAACTGTCCGTTTGGCTCCAAATTAGAAGGATGAATTGCAAAATAACTTAAAATCAAGAATTATCTATTAAATGTCAACGCCGTACACCGCTGTGAATACCATGTATTCAACAATATCTGCCGTTTGTTATTTTCTATTCCCATCATTGGCAAAAGGTTGTTTAAGAAACTATCATGTAATGTGGACAAGATGACATCTTGAATGGTGGGAGGAACAATGCAAACAGGCACATGCTACACAACCGGACAGGGAATGACAGCATCAGAGGGGTCGGTGGTCTCATGATAATTTTAACTGTAATTTGACTCACTCATCTCACAACCAACGTCATCAGAAGGGCTTGTGTCACTGCTGATGGTCACAACTAAAGGTGGGACTGTTGCTTGTTGTAAGTCCATCACGTGACCAGTATCTTGACTCTATCTTGTTGACGACTTTGGCAACGCAACGCAACTGGATTCATTTACTACCTTTTCAACATCACGCAATTTCAATGTTGTGTTCAGTCATCCATCGTCACCTTTGATCATACCCCATATCAACTCTATTGGGTCCAGATCGCAGTGGTAAGGGGGTAGTCGTAAGGCAGCTTGACCTTGGCCTTTGATGTAATTGTTTACCATAAACACGACTCAGGTTTGTTATAGTCTGGAAGTTAATTTAAGGTACCGACGTTTACTACAATATCTGAAAAACTATTGGTCCTACTCCAGTCAAAGTTGGTATGAGATTATTAAACAGTCATACATAACTGGATATTACATTTAAAGACAATCGGTGCATGAATAAAAAATCTGTCTATTTAGCTATCACTATATTTCATCAACAACCAGACCTGTTCGTCACTGGTGGAACGAGCATTCATTGTAATAGCCATCTGCATAATGCTACCCCTGCGTCACAGGGCCATATGACACAGTTGAACCAATCAACTCAACTCGAAAGGTTGCACGGGAATCACGCACGCACGATTACGGTGTTAGCGTTGGGCGTCTCAAGCAGTTATTTATTAATATCAAATTATCAAATTATTTTTGCATTCTTTTTCGATCAGTGTTATTGACTTGAATGTATCATTCCTTGCCACATTATTATATTTCATGCATCATGTTATTAGGTGTAATATATCATACGTAATTATCCAAGTAGACAAACCATTGCTTTATGGTTTCGAAGAAACTATTTTAATATTTTCGTAGATGATTCGAGACTTTTGGGGCTGTTTCGGGTGAAAGAGAATCAAATTCTGAGCAAAGAATTGCATAAAGTGGACAAGATCCGATTACGACATGTACTACAAAGCACGAACCTGAAATTCTTGCGCTGTGGCTCTCTGGTATCTGGGTGAGACCATAGGTAAGCCGCTGTGTGGCAGGCGTTAACCCAGGTTTCGTCCAAAAAGACAGGCCCATAAGCCTTCTTCTCGTTTCTTTTTAATAGTGCGCAAATAATTGATACACAAACGAATGATATCTGGTCGTTCACACATTGATAGTTTCGACCCTTTCGTCTTTTTGTACTGATATCCAAATTTGGAAAGGAGTTTACAAATGGTCCATTTGGAAATATCTTAGTCATGCTCTGTAAGGAGAATTTGATTTAGTTTTCGTGTTGAATTAAATTCATTTTCTCGTGTTAACCGCCGAATCACGTCCCTGACAACTTTCTTATCAAAGGAATCTAACTTTAATTTCCTATCCTCTTTTGAGATGCCCCCTAAGGGATGTGCAGGGGAGCATGTGTTTTTATGAGAGTTCGTAAACTTAACTACGGTTTGTTTGGGAAGCTGTAACGCATGAATTGTTCTTTTCATGTACTTTGAAATGTCAAAGAAGGGCGAACGTCTTTCACTTTCAGCCATAAAGTATTCAAATATTTTAACAACGAAATCTTTCGCATCAGCGGAAATATGCTTGCGCTGAGACATCATGAAATCTAATGCTAACACCGTATTCGTGCGTGCGTGATTCCCGTGCAACCTTTCGAGTTGAGTTGGTTGGTTGTTGATGAAATATAGTGATAGCTAAATAGACAGATTTTTTATTCATGCACCGATTGTCTTTAAATGTAATATCCAGTTATGTATGACTGTTTAATAATCTCATACCAACTTTGACTGGAGTAGGAGCAATAGTTTTCAGATATTGTAGTAAACGTCGGTACCTTAAATTAACTTCCAGACTATAGATTTGATGATTTCAAAGACTTGTGGTTTTTTAGCCCCGGAAGGAAAGGTCATATTCATCCATTGCAGCCACATGACCAGATCTTCTTTGAGGCTATTAGACGTGGGGACCTTGCTGTCTGGATCATGTATACTGTGGTAATGTCCAATGTCCATATGATAATAAGGCACCTGACAGGCAAAACAGGGACCAATTTAGTTTTCCCTTTGCCGTTCATTTCTGTGTGGTAGTCCCTGTTGTCCTTGGCTCAAAGACGAGGTCACAGCCAGCAGGGAGAACATAAGTCTTTCACATTTTCCCATTGGTAACTTTTTCCCAGACCCCTTACAGAACTCACTGGGTGCCCACTGACTGCTGGCTGTTTGGAAGGAATGTACCCACGTCTCATCTAGGAAAACAGGATCACATCCTTCTTCACGTTTCTGCTTGTTGTGTCAAAGATAATGATTTCGGAGACGAAGGATGTCCGATCGTTCACACAACACTTATATTTTTTGTATATGTATCCAAATGTATGCACAGGTTGCCATAGCTTGTATTTTGTAACATCATGTTTAGTTTCAAGGTATTTCTTCCTAGCCCTTAGAGTCCTTGTGACATGTACTTATTTTCTGAATGCAGTTTGACAATAAGCACGTCAGACTTGATTTTTTTCTGAAAACTGTCTAATTTAACTGTTTAATTTACCCTACATGGTTTTGATATATTCCCACCTGCTTCGCCTGATTGCTAGAGTCCTGTCGAAGGACACCGTTTATCATCTTGTTGGGAGACATACCAACAGCTTTAGAAGCTGTTTCAAGTATTTATTAATGGCATAGAATGGTTATCCTTTTTCTGAGACACATTGAAAGACATCATACACCTTCAAAATCAACTATTTTACATGAACTGAGTTGCGCATCTTGTCAGTCAATAACGACGTATACTATGTAGCACGTGCAGTACGTGTTTGTGCTGTTCCTCCTACCGTTGTGCCCCCTCCGTTCAAGATGTTCACTTCTACACATAACAACATGATAGTTTCTTAAACAACTTTTTTCCAGTGATGGGAATAAAAATAACAAACCGCAGATATTGTTGGGTATGGGGTATTCATTGTCGTGTACTGTGTACCGTATTGGCATTAAATAGACTATTCCAGATATTGAGTTACTTTGCAATTCACCCTTCTCATTTGGAGCCAAACGGACCAGTCCTCCTTAACAGCCACGGAGGCCTGGGTGTACACAAACCCTAAGGGTTGTGTTATTTCGCATGAAGATTTAAGGATTGTTCTAAATCGATAATCGATTGTAATAATTAACAGCACTTGCCTACTGTTTCGCGCGCTTGCATCTTGTTGATTAATATTGGATCCGCGCTAAAAACAAAGGAGAAACACGGATCACGTCAGATTCCATAAATACATGAACCCAGTTAACCAGCTGCAAGACTACTTGAACATCTGTTCGTCATAATCGCCGCCCCTTATTTTCCCAATAACCTACCAGACAATAAAAACTGCCATGCCAAGGATCCAAGAGAGCCTTTTTGATCAGTCATTCGATATTCAATATCAAATAGATCTCGGAATAAAGTGAAGAGAAATATTGACAGTATTGATTTGTTTTGAGAGGAACTGAAATATAGGCCAAATTACGCAACCACCTCTTCACTTTGAAAATAAAATCCTTCCAATATATGCTAACATTTCTGATGCTCAAGTTTGTCCAAAGCAATTTGTCACATTAGATAAGCCCATGTGAGCTCTGCCTTTGTTCCTGCTTTGGTTGAATCTGTTGTTGTCACCCGGCGTTGTCACCTATCTGTAAAAGCAGGAACAAAGGCAAAGCTTACTTTGGCTTATGTAATGTCACAATTTGCCTTCGACAAACTTCACCGGGCTGTGTAACCTGGCGTTGTATGTAAACCTGTCAACAACCAGTAAAGCTCACACTTGCACAACTTTTCCATGCATTGGTTATGACAGAAACGCTGAGCTTCAGACCTTCATCTACAAGGTGAAGGAAGATATACTACTAAAAAAAAACACAAAAAACCGCATACCAAGATTTTTATCACGGAAAGCCGTTTTGCAGGGGATTTTTAAATGGACAGTCCATCCATGCGTCTGTCCATCCAGGATGTTGTTTCAAGAGCAGATCTTGAAAACCGTAAAACATTCCCTCACCAAAGTTGATACATACTTAGGTCTTGTGGCGAACTGGTGCCTTTTGATAGTTTGGAATTTAAATTTTTTTTATATTTCATGGTTTCATGTCAACAACTTTGACTTAAGCTGGAAATGGTTGTTGTGCTCATTTCCGAAGCAGATCTTGAAGACCGTTCACTATTTCTTCAACAAACGTGGGACATAATTTGGTTTAATGGTGAACTGGTGCCATTTCATAGTTTGGGATTTT